CCGCCTCTAAATGTTTGTTTTATTTTTACAATTTATATTTTATTTTAAGAGTAAAGACATGATCAGTGGTGATTCTAGAGTCTGTAGGGGCCTCCAACCAGCATTCATCACCATCATGTCCTCCAGGGTCCCGACCCTTCCTCCTCTTCCTGTTTTTCCTGTTTCTCCTTTCTCTCCTAGAGACAGAGAATTCCTCTTTGTTTTTATTTGCTGACTTTCATTCATGAACTTTTGGTTTGGTTTTAAATGTTTGTTTGTCATTAGTTGTTAAAGAAATGTTCAGCCCTTTATAAGAACCATCATGAGACCACAGTTAATGTAGAGACGGACTGAAACAGGCCTGCTGGGAAGTCTTTGTCCAGACAGGCCCAACGGGGCCCCCTTGTGCCAACAGACAGTATAACAATCCCAACCTACCAGCGTTATAAAACCACTTTGTCCACCAGATGTCGCCACCGTCAAAGAAAAAACAGTGTCACATCTTCACCACAGTCACAGTCCTCCAGTTTATCAGACAGTCAGTCTCCACTCTGACCTGAGACACTTTAAAAGAGTTTAAAGCCGCTCATACAAACACTGAAAGAGGGGATTTCTGCCTCGTCATATAATTTCCTCCAGGTCATACATTCATTATATTCATGCATATTCATGTCAGTGACGGGGATTTAACCAACAGCTCGTCCTCAGTGTCTATCAGCATCCTCAGGTCGAAACTTTCTTTTAGCTCAGAGGAGAAAGTCGGGTCAGTTTATTCAGGTTTTCAAAAATCAAGATTTCCACCCAGGACGCTTCACAAGCTGTATAACTGTGGTATCTAAAGTGAGGTTGTGTTCCAAGACCCTCAACTATATGAGGTTCCCAAGAAAGAAATTAATAACTTTGGAGAGGAAGAGCAAGAAGACGTGTGAGGAGGTGAAGAAGGAGGAAACCAGATTATTGGAATCCAACAGTGTTATTACAACGTCAAAAGAAACCAAAATAATGAAAATGCTTTACAGAAGAACAATCATTAACTGGAACGTTATTGTGTCTTAAGAAACGGACTAAAGTAAGACAAAATGATGGACAACGTGTCGTTAGTTTTCATCTTTGACATGAACATACTGACTGGGACAGTTTGTCTCACACACGTCAGTTTCAAATTCGGGGTAAGCTTGAGGACTGTGGGAGTGCCGATAGCCTAGCGGTTATGTTGCACACCTCATGCACAGAGGCTGTAGTCCTTGTTGCAGCGCCCATGGGTTTGAATCCGACCTCGACCCTTTGCTGCATGTCATCCCCCTCTCTCTCTGCCAACATTCCCAACATTTCCTGCATCTCTTCAGCTGTCCTATCCAATAAAGGCAAAAAAAAATGTAAAAAAAAAAAAATTAGCGCTTGCAAACCGCAAGTTAAAGCTTTGTTCACATTCTTATTAGAGATAATTGTATAATAAACTAATTCAGACGACACAACATGTTTTTTTCACGCTTTTCTCTTTATTCCCGCATGATGTTGTAGTTCTCTTGTGATTTTGTAGTTCTCCTGTGATCTTGTAGTTCTTTGTGATCTTGTAGTTCTCTTGTGGTCTTGTAGTTCTTCTGTGATCTTGTAGTTCTCTTGTGATCTTGTAGTTCTTCTGTGATCTTGTAGTTCTCTTATGATCTTGTAGTTCTTCTGTGGTCTTGTAGTTCTCTTGTGATCTTGTAGTTCTCCTGTGATCTTGTAGTTCTCTTATGATCTTGTAGTTCTTCTGTGGTCTTGTAGTTCTCTTGTGATCTTGTAGTTCTCTTGTGATCTTGTAGTTCTCCTGTGATCTTGTAGTTCTCTTATGATCTTGTAGTTCTCCTGTGATCTTGTAGTTCTCCTGTGATCTTGTAGTTCTTGTGATCTTGTAGTTCTCCTGTGATCTTGTAGTTCTCCTGTGATCTTGTAGTTCTTCTGTGGTCTTGTAGTTCTCTTGTGATCTTGTAGTTCTCCTGTGATCTTGTAGTTCTCCTGTGATCTTGTAGTTCTCCTGTGATCTTGTAGTTCTTTGTGATCTTGTAGTTCTCCTGTGATCTTGTAGTTCTCTTGTGATCTTGTAGTTCTCCTGTGATCTTGTAGTTCTTTGTGATCTTGTAGTTCTCCTGTGATCTTGTAGTTTCCTGTGTTCTTGTAGTTCTCCTGTGATCTTGTAGTTCTCCTGCGATCTTGTAGTTTTCTTGCGATCTTGTAGTTCTCCCGTGATCTTGTAGTTCTCCCGTGATCTTGTAGTTCTCCTGTGATCTTGTAGTTCTCCTGTGATGTACAGCTGCTCACGCTCCAGAAACGGGCCCAGTGGGGCAGAGCGCACTGGACGTTTGACGGAGCAAAACCGTGGCGCTGTCAGAATGTAGCGTGCATGGAGTATGTGGAAAGTGGCCGTAAAAGTCCAACACATCATACATTAGTCGACTTAGCTAGCAGAGCAGCCTAGCATGTCTCTTTGTGTGAACTGCTGGCATGACCAAGACGAGTGTGCACTGCCAGGAGGGGCCCCTGTGAACCCTGGCTTAGGACCCCTGCAGACCCTAATATTGCCTCTGTTGACAAAAAGAAAACAGTAATGGAGAGCTCGTCCTACAGAGAGATAAAACAGAGAGTAAATTAAAAACAAAAGAGGATTACGTACACTTTACATTATCAGTTGCTTGCAGCTCTCCTCATTTGTCAACGTGGGTTCAAATCTCCGGAGTAGCCCCCCCTGTAATCTAAGCGTACGCTGAGGAGTTCATTACAGGGATATGAATGTGAACACGGAGCTCCTCCTGCCCGAGGCGGCTCTCTATCAACAGTCGGAATTCCGCCGAGCTGCTGAGGACGGAGATGTGCAGGAAACCGGAGACGCTGTGGAAGTGTGAGAGCCGGAGAGACAAAGCAAGCGGGCCTTTGTGGACGTCTTAGGAATGTTCCGGCGTCAACACTTTTTAAAAGAGTCTTTGATGTGCGGCGCTGTTTTCACCTCTCCTGTGACGAATACGTGATCCTGAGGAGGCCTGAAGTGACCAACGCAACACAAAGTTGAATTTTTATTATTCACAGACGTTTTGAGATCAATAAATTGACATTTTGGAACACCTTACTCAGTGATGTTGTTACTTCCATGAAGGTAACAGTTTAGGTGTAGGTCGCTATTTTTACATCTCTGTATTTGTCTGATCGCAGCAATCTTAAGTTTTTCAGCATTTTCAGATTAAACCTCCTGAAGATAAAGATCTCCTTAGATGATTTTTACTGCATTAAGACTGTCAGTTATGTACCGTCAGGTGTTGACTTCCTGGCCTTAACAATCGGGCAAAGAGTGAAAGTTTCCTTCTGCATATATTCAGTGAGACTGTGAATGTACAGGGCTGAGGGGCGTAGATGGCCTAGCAGTTGGGTCACGCCCCATGCATAGCGGCTGGGGTCCATCAAGGGGGCCGCCCCAGTTTGGGTCCAACCTGTGGCTCCTTTCCCGCATGTCATATCTTACTATTTTTCTCCCCCAGTTTCCAACTCCATCCACTGTCCTATTGAATGAATGAATGAAACAAATCTTTATTTTATTTTTTTACATGGGGTGCAGATGGCCTAGCGCAGGGAAGGGCAACTTTTGTAACAGCAAGGGTCACATTCATTAATTCTCACAGCCAAGGGGCCAAATTGTAGAATACAAAAAACGATTACAGTCAATTATGTCTCAAATTTAACTCAACATATTATTATCATGAAGAAAACATGACAAAATCATGAAAACCAGAAATATGTCCATAATAATATTTGATCACTGGTATAATATGTAGAAATTGACCTGAGGGCCACGTTTAGGGTTGATGGGGGCCGCTAGTTGCCCACCCCTGGCCTAGCGGTTAGGTCGCGCGCCATGCACGGAGGCTGGGGTCCTTTGGGCATTCAGTCCAGTTTTGAGTACAACCTGCAGCTCCTTTCCTGCACATCATCCCTCACTCTCTCCATTTCAGGCTCTATCCACTTCTTATCCAATAATCAAAAAGTCCCAAAAAAAATTAATTAAAAAAAAAAAATGTAGAGCTTTGAAGTTTTCCATCTTTTCACCGGTCAACATAAAACATACAACAAGTGACCAGTTCTCTGCAGGCTCACTTGTTTGTTTGGTATGTGAGGTAATGAGTCAACTGAAAGAAGGTCCAATAGGAACCAGCTAAAAGTTACTGAAGTTACTGAGGTCACCTGTTTCCTCTCTCCATGATCGACCTCTGCAGAGAGACTGCTGCAGGAAACAGGAGCCTCCTCTGCTCTAAGTTTATATGTCTCATCTGAAACTTTAAGGCTGATACTAAAACGTTCAGAAACCCCAGAAGAACGTTGTCTGAAAATGAGGACCAGCACAGAATAATGTGAAGAAAAAATCATTTATTATTTTTAATATTTACAAAAATAGAAGAAATCCCCCAGTGTTTCAGTGATCCCATCCAGTGATGACAGCAGTGGTCACGACCTAATGCAGCAGTTTAGCTGTTATCAATCGCACCTCAATCCTCAATTAATCGACTTATTAACAATAGGTTTTAATATTTGTAGCATTTTTAAAATCCACTTTTCTTCCCTTTTTCTACGTTTATATGTGTCGCTGTTGTTTGGTGATGTCTCGCTCAATACAACGACCAGTTTCGCAAAGTAAAGATGCTGAAATCGAACAGCTAGAAGAAGAAATTCTAAAAAAGTGCATCATCATAAACTGATGCATAAAAGTCCCCAATCAAGCAAGCTGAGACATGGACGGCCGGCTCCTCCCCTTGTGTATAAAAGCTGTTTTAGTCAAGTAAGTAGTCATTTAAGTGTTTATAGATCACGCTCATTCTGTGTCAATTTACGTGCAGCTATGAGCTAACTAAAGCATGCTAACACAACAATGCAGGACGCAGGTGATTGCAGCTCGAGCAAAGGACAATTTTGTCCGCCACTTGCACTAAAGTCCTTTGTGTGAACGTGAGTGGAGAGGGGTTGGAGGTGTGTCTCTGGAGGAGAGCGGAGGCTTCAGTATGGAGGAGGTGTCTCAAAAGAGCAGTTTGTTTTGGTTTCATGCTGGTGCTCAAGAGAGACACCTACTGGATCAAAAAGTTTCACATTCTTCCTTTAGTTTGTTAATTCCACAACCAGGTTCCTAGTGAGAAAGCCTTTGTTTTAATAGCAGTGTCAAAAGGTCGTTGATTGTGTGAATGATTTGGATGCTTACCATCCAGTCAGCATCACAAAAGGCAAGACTGAGTTGCATTATGGGAAATGTAGGACTAAATCTTTGGAGCTTACTCTGGACTGAGAGTCAACTCTTGGAGTTAACTTTGCAACAATGAACTCAGAACAGAAAAGAAACAACAGTCTCATCCCTGCAGTGTTCACGAGTCTTGTTGTGGGGATTTATTTCAGGTTCTGCTGCTTCCCTTCATGCCTGCAGAAGCTGTCCAACCAGAGCCGGGCTCCTCTCCCGGATCAGGGCCGACGTGATCTCCATGACCTTCAACACTGACCTCTCCCAGCGCTCTATTTCCTGAGAGAGAGAGATAGAGAGAGAGATAGAGAGAGAGAGGGAAGGGGGGAAAGAGAGAGTGCAGAAAATTACAGAGGGACACGCTAACAACACGCCACCTCGCTCAATAAATGAGCTCAGCAGTTAGATCCTGCAATAACAAAGTCAGACATCCACACGCAGATTCACATTTGTTCGTGTTTATCTCCTCTCTTAACAGTCACGACTCTGTTTGAGTCATTTGGATGTTTGTATTCCAGTTTACGGGGCCGCTGGCCAGAAGCAAGCAGTTAGCGTTAGCAGCCGGTTTCATCTAGCAGGAGACAAAGTTAACCCATGCCCACGTTGTTCCACTTATGGTCATGGCAAGAGTTTGTAAAAACTGTTTGGGAAGGTTTATACAACGATGAGTTGACACAAGAAGTCTGGAAGGGTCCAAATGTTGATCAAATGTCTAAACTGCACTGAACCTCCCTGACAGACAGTTCTGTGAAGGACTCTGCTGAATCACTTTTTCTTTTAAAAACACTTTGAGAACCGAGGAGACGAACTGCTAACTTAGAAAAGTGGAGCGAGAGAGCAGTACTGCTGCAGGTCGGAGCAGGCAGCTTAAATAGATGGCTAATTGGAAGGAGGTGATCAGTATCAGGTGTGAAATCAGTGCAGCTCCAGTTCACTGCCTGAACTAGCTCGCAGCCTCATTGAAGGAGATCCCATTGGATGTTTTCATCTAAAAATGTAAGGTGTAGCTGACTTTAAAGGTCACATATGATGCAAATGACACTTCACCATGTTCCTCTATCACTAACATATGTCTCTAGTCTGTCTACAAACCCCCCAATGATGAGAAAAGTCCATCCTCTCCGTCTGTTGCCTGCTCCACTTTTCAGAAAATGTGTGCTCAAACAGGCCGTTTGGAGATTTTCCCTTCATGACATCACAAAGGCAGTAACCCCTCCCCCAGGTGGGTGACACTCCCACAGCTAGGTGTTTGTTCTGCCCTCTGAGTCTGCCTTCTCACTGTAAACAATAGGACATGGAGCGAGAAAGCCCGAGACACCCAAGCCCCTCCCTCAGAAACAGCTCATTTACATATTTAAAGGTACAGACACAGAAACAGCCTGTTCTGAGCAGGGCTGAAATAGAGGGGTTTAAAGGCATGATGAAATACAGGATCAGAGTGGATTTAGAACAAGAAACTTCACACACATGTTTTGAGTAGCTCTGAGACATATTTACACTGGTTGAAGAGGAGGAGAATATGTCATCTTTAAATCAAATAGGCGTTACATTTTCCAGAAGCAAGGACATTTCTCAGTTTATGTCCTTGTGCTATTATATATCAAATGTGGGGTTTCAATGTTTCTCGTTCAATTTGAACTCCCACACCTAATTTGATTGTAAGAATTCAAAAATCTTGTGGAGGTCTCTTTGTATATCTAATGTTATTTCATGGCTTGTTCAATCAACAGGAGGAAGCAATCTTCCAAGTCAGGGGGGGGAAGAGAAATGCAACAGAATGAAGCCACTTTCTTCTCTTTTTCTCCAGAAATGTGTGTAAATGTTAAGCCCTCTGAAGCTCGTGAACCCACCAGGCCTCCTTTAAGTGTTGTGGTGCATGATATTGGACAGAGCCACACACACACACACACACACACACACACACACACACACACACACACACACACACACACACACACACACACACACACACACACACACACACACACACACACACACACACACACACACACACACACACACACACACACACACACACACACACAGTTTAAAAGCAAACTCCACTGTTGTGGTTGTTTTGCCTTCGTGATTTCTCTCTGCTGTATCTCTTTCTTCTCAGCAGACCGCCTGCACAATGCACTTTTAATGGTTTCACTCCCCCTGACTTCATTCTTTAGGCTACAGCGACTCCCACCTTTGATTTAGTTTCTGCGTGAAGACTAAGAATGACCTGTTTTCCATCTTTCAAAGCGGCTGCAGTTCAAGGAGCTTTACTTTGTTTTAACCACAGAAAACAGATTTATGCTTCATGCTCTACCTGGACTTTTTCATAAGTCTGTAATAATAAGGCTTTTTGACAAAGCTTTTGATGTGAGCAGAGAGAAAGTACATAACAAATATTTTAATTTCTTGAAACTTTGAAGGATATCAGACACGGAGAACACAAGAAAGATGAAGAAACCACAAAGAAAGGAAAGCCTGGGATTCATTTGGGTTCCTGCAGAGAGCAAACAGTTTCATACACTACAGCTCTGCACTGAGAGACCTTCAACATTACACACTCAAAGTTAAAGAATATTTGTTTCATGGTATCATATATTTATCGGCTCCAGAACCCCCGATAATCGGAACGGGAAAAGCAGTTTGGATAAGCGATGGATCAATGGATGGATGAATCACATATTTTTGATTATTAGTCAATTTATTGAACATGTTAAAAAAATACAAACATATCATGGTGCGTTCCATCAACCTCAGAAGTCTGTGTCCGAGCTGGGAATGATGACATCACACTCAAGTTAGCCGCCTTCCAGTAACACATTGGAAAGAAGTTGGAAAAGCAACACAGACACCTCCAGGAGTTACATTGTTTTGTGAGCTTCTAGGCGATAACCACACACTGCGTGATAGTGTGTGGGGACATACGACAACACACGAGAAAAATGCTCTGTTTCAAATGTGCTCTCCTTGTGATGTCACAGTGGGATTCTGGTAAACAAACACCCTCCCCTCCCCTGGTATCTCCACCCATGGACTCCACCCCCAGTCTAGAGAAAAACTTTTGCGCAGGTCCGCCCTTTATATTCTCGCTAACAAAGGAGTGATGTCTACTGGGAAAACTCAGGGGGGGCTCATTGTATTTAAAGAGACACACACACCAAAACAGAGCGTTCTGAGAGAGCTGGTTTATACAGGGTCACAAACCTCTTCTGGTGCTTGATTCATGTTATATTTTGACCAAAGCACAGCACAAATGTTTCATTTAGACCACAGGGGGACTGTTTGAAAAGGTGGAGAAGAGGGGGTAATATGTCCTCTTCAATACTAGGCTCCGGTAAGTCATGAGAGTAAACCAGAGTATAACACCTGGATTCTGAACTGCACCATGTAGCTGGTAGTCTGTTTTTGTTAAAAGTATTAGTTATTCTCCAACATGAGTTGTGAAGAATTGTGCAGTGAAAAATGCACATTACTTAAACAAAAAACCAAGGCAAAGTCCCAACCTATGAAAACTGGAACCAAGAGCGGTAATAAACCACAAGCATCCTGCCAAACAGGATCCAATCTAATTTTGACTTTTCACCGTAGAAGCAGCAACCGAACTTCTTGGGTGTAAAACCATTTTCAACAGCCAGCTCTAAGAGGGGAGGTTCGCTAAGGTGTGAAATTAAATAATACAAGAACGCTTAAAAGGACTTTTCTCAAAGTGGAACATAAAAAAATATATTAAAAAGACATCCCAGTGAGGCGACAAAACAACGCTCTTTTGTTATCCTGAACAACTTCATTCATTCTGGGTAACAAGTACGTGTCAGAGCATGACACATTTGGAGCTCAGTGTTTGATTAACGGGAGAAAAAGAAGCGTTCTCTCCTCTGACCTTTGTTGCAGTTAAGAGTCTAACTTCACAGGCCAGCTCCCGACAGCTCTGTGTGTGCAGCGACTGAACGGAAATGTGACGAGGTGTGAGAGCGATGAGCGTGGAATCGGGCCTGACCGTGGTTAATGGAAGCGAGAGACCCGGCGTTCAGGACTCCCCGAGCACTCCTCCCTAATCAGAACCAGCGTACGGGGGAGTCAGATGACACGGATTTTCCACACCGACCTACTGAAAAGGGGAACTGGAGGAGGCACTGGAGCGCAGATCAGCGACTCCAGACTCTCATTGATTAAAGCAACACAGAAGATGGAATATGAATATAATCATGTCGGATGAACTCCAGAGGCATTCTGCATCCGTGTCTACAAGATTTATTTCAGGCCAGACCTTTGAAGAACCAAAGGAAGATGACTGACGTAAAAACACAACAGCTTTAAAGCACCCAAGTTATAGTTCTGTGATTTGATCCATAATACGATGGGCCAGTACATCTGCAGGCAGTCAACAGTTTCAGCTGATAGCACAACATTCTCGCTGTTATCCTGAGGAATACGTGGTATCATCAGTGATCAGTTGGCAGCTCAGAGCGAGATATCAAAGAGTTTGAGTAATATCTGATTGCATCTTATCTTTGTTTACACCATAAGCAATCAGATCAAAGCATTCTTCTGACTGTTATCTAAAACAAATTACATCTTTACACGCAAAGTATTTGAGATGTTACACATGTTTGGAGAAGCTACAAGGCCCGGGGGATGAAAAATGTGACGAGCGCGATCATTGGTTTCATTACCACCCAAGTGCATTGATGAGGACCATGGGAAAGTCACGGCAAAACGTTGGATGTCTCGGGCATATTGAAGACAGCTTCAGGCATTAAGCCACAGCTAATGACTCTATTACAGACGCTCTGTTTTCTTATAGGCAGAACACTTCGGTTTGCACACGAGATAATGCAACAACAACAATTAAAAAAAGCACAAAAAGACAAAGTCGAGATCACCAAGGAGGATCAAAGTTTTAAGCCTGTCTAAGCCCTTTCCGCTGAATTAATTCCACTCCAGATATGCGGTCTTTGAAATATGAATCATGCTTCACGAGGCAGTGTTATTAAATCAAGTAGTCGCTTGCAGAGTGGAACACAAATACGACTTGAGCTTTGCATCGACTCGTGGCACAGCTTTAAGTAGTCACAACTGCCACTCAGGCTTCAAATGTGGTCGAGATTGAAGCACGACAAAAGGGTAGAATTACCGAACGCCAACAAACTCAGAGGCTTCGAAGATATTTGTATATTGAACTGCTCTCAGGCTGAAATCTATATGACTGGAGGGCCACAGAGGCAGGAGCTGCAGTTAGCTTCAGTGAGTGGAAGGTCTTGACAGACAAAAGATGTTAC